GACAGGAAAATTCCACACACAGCCTTGGAGGGGAAGGTGCTGGCACAGGCCCCCTGCTGAGCCATCCTGCTTTGGTTCCTCACCCTTGGCGGTTCTCTGTGGGGAAGTGCTTTGGGTTCCCTCAGACTCTAGAGGGAAGCCTCTGTGCAAAACCAGATCTGTCCCAGGGGCACAGGTACCTCGACCACCCCGGCTGTGGAGCAATGATAGAGGCCCAACAGGGGACCACCTTGGGTTTCACAATACCTGTCTCTGCTTACGGTACCCACCGATGACCGCGCAGCTTCTGGCTGCCTTGGATGAGAGCAGACGGGAGGGAGGAGAGGAGGGTCCCAGGAGCTCTTTCTTATTCAGTGTCAGTGTGGGTCCAATCTGGTGTCAGAAGCCCCAGTCTGGGGTTTTCTTATCTTGAGGCACTTTAATGATTCTTCCCAGGGCTACTGGGTCATGTGCCTCCATGTAAGTGGTGCCCCTTGGGGGAGGGGGCGTCCTGCCATTAATGGCCCCGCTTGGTCCTTTCCTAGCTGGGAGCTGCTACTTCACATTGCCTATGCACGTAATGCCCTTCCTACAGACCCATTCTAAGGGTCCTGCCCGTGTGGACACTTCCTGATGGAACCAAGCACCCACAAATGCCGTCCTGCTGGCAAGCTCTCTGCCAAGACGATGCAAGGCCAATGACCTTCCTGGCCCAGAATCCTGCCAGGCCCGTGTGACTCACCTCAGACTATGGGGCTTGTCTTTGTAGGTCACCTAGAAAAAGCTGGGCCACCAAACCCAAACTGAAGAAAACAGGGAGTCCCCTGGGTCCCAGGAGTGCTAAGGATTTCAGCTGGCATGGGGCTCCGCCATGACTCAGGCAGCTGGGCATCGCTGCCCTCTGATTGCTCTGCTGCTACCCACTCACTGGCTTTCTCTTGGGCTTATCTGAGGTCTCACTTGATTCATGAGCATCTTAATCCACAATGACCCTTCACCCACCACTCTCTGCTGACGTCATCTTCTTGGAGTTGCCTAATTCATGGCCAATGAATTACAGATGACTGAACCAGGGTTGATAAAATTCCTTCCTAGGGGAAGACATAAATAAGAGCTACCCCTCTTCCCAAGCTCTCAACAACTAACTGAGGCACGACCAGAGCACAGGTGAAGGGTTAACGACAGGAGTGTAAGTGCTCCTCCCCCGAAACATCGGAAAATCTTTAGCCCAGCAGGGACGATGGCTTTCTCCTCGTTACACAGATGGACCGCCCTTCCCTGGTCTCCTCTCTGCCTACATAAACGCGAGCACGGAGGCCACGGGCCACTAAGGCGGAGTTGCCCACAACAGGTAGAAGGGAGCCTCTGGGTACTCCGGTGAGGGTCTCGTGTCCCTCCTCCCCTGAGGGGCATAAACAGTCGATAAGGTCATCTGTAATAATCCTTTGGCAAGGGGCAAAGCTGAACTCCCCAAGATGGTGGCTGCTTGGCTTAGAGGACAGCCATTCACATTTGAGAACTTGTGGATACCGTGGGCCACTGGGTTCCCTCGGCTCAGCCCACCTTGAGACATAGGAAAGGCACCAAGGGATGGGGTGTGGACTGCTTCAGCAAAGGACAAGCCCTCTCTGGAAGGTCTGACTGTGACCATCTCCCCCTGACCAGTGAGGTCACTGGTCACGCCTTGTTCCCAGTTTTATCTGCTATACTTGGCATTTTGTCCCTGAAGCGGAGATGACCAGCACTACCCCCCACCCCACCCCACCCACACTCCCACCCCACACACACTCCCCAGTGATCTGCCATTCCATGATTGCCAAAGGCCCAAATCATAACACCAAGGACAGTGGTAGACAAAGGCTCTTTGGTCTCTAGAGGTGTTCCCAAAAGCCTGGTCCTGGCAGTATCACCATGTACTAGATTGATGAGTGGGGTCAAGGTCAGTGCAGCATCTCCAGGTTTGAGAGACTGTTGGAGAACTCAGGGGCTTGGGGTCTCTTTGCAGGAGGAGGCCTCTGTCTTCTGGCGGCTCACTGTGAAGGTCGTGGAGGCTCGGAGTCTGCCCAGGGCTGACCTGTGTGAGTGACGTCTATCTGTGGGTAGGGACCGGATCCCAAGGGAAAGGACCAGTCATTCTTTGGGGTGGGGCCTGGCTGCCCTCAGTGGATGCTGAGGTTGCCATAGAAACCTGTGCAACCCCCCTGGAAAGATGTGTAGTTCTCTCTCATCTGACGGTCGGTTCCTTGGCTCTGTCAGTGAGCGAGGCGGATCCGTATGTGACGCTGCTACTGCCAACAGCCCCTGGGGTGAAATTCAAGACCAAAACTGTCACCAACTCCAGTCACCCCGTGTGGAATGAGACCTTCAGTGTCCTCATCCAGAGTCAGGTCAAGGTAAAGATCGGGGTAGCGCTAGCCCCTCACTTGTAGAAGGCCTTGCCGCTTCCCTCCATGGGAGGACCTTGGGATCAAGCAGGGTTGCTCTAGTGTTCACAGAACTCGGGGGAGGGGTGTGTGTGTTCGCGCCCCAGACTCTATGTGCTGTGAGCGAGAGAATGTGTGACGGAATGTGTGGGGCTGACGTGTGGTCAGCTGCCGCTTCTCCCTAACCCCGTCTATGATGTGGGACTAGAAAGCATTCCTTTTTAGTGGGGCTAAAGGGGAATTGTGCAGGGAACCGTCATACAGTGCTTGGTACTCGCCTTCGGGTGTGTTAGGGAACTGGCAAAGCAGACTGGTTGAAAACCTTCCCCAAATTTAAACTACATTTGTTTATGCTGTGCATGTGTGCCTGTGTGTACCACAGCACACGTGTGGAGGCCAGAGGACAACTTTTGGGAGTCTGCCTCTCCCTCCACCACGTGGGTCCCGCATGTCAGGTTTGCCAGGAGGTGCCTTTACCCACTGAGCCATCCTGCCTGCCCCCAAAGACATTTAAAATTTTTTTTTAATTTTTTTTCTTGTTTTCTTTCTTCAGATAGGGTCTTGCTATGTAGCACTGGCTGCCTAGAACTCACTATGTAGACCATGCTGGCCTTGAACTCACAGAAATCCACCTGACTCTGCCTCCAGAGTGGTTGAATTAAAGGGGTATGCAACTGTACCCAGCTTAGTTTTTTGTTTTTGCTTTTTTTTTGTTTTGGTTTTTTTGAGACAGGGTTTCTCTGTGTAGCTTTGTGCCTTTCCTGGAACTCACTCTGTAGCCCAGGCTGGCCTTGAACTCACAGAAATCCACCTGCCTCTGCCTCCCGAGTGCTGGGATTAAAGGCGTGTGCCACCACCGCCCAGCTTGTTTTTGCTTTTTTAAGACAAGCTTTTTTTCCCCCATAGGTTTGAATGGTTTAGATCTCACTATGTAGCCAGGCTGGCCTTAAACTTACAGTAATAATAAATAAACTTAGAGTAACTTTGCCTCCTGGCTGCTAGATCACAGACATGATCCACCATGCCCTACCTAGGAAGAAAATTCTTCAAGGTACATACATACATACATGCATGCATGCATACATACATACATACTAGAGACAGACAATCATTGTGTAGTTCATTCAGACTAACCTCAAATTCATGGTCCTCCTGCAGCAACCTCCCAAGGGCTGGCATTACAGGAATGAACCCCCAGTCTGTTTTTTTGTTTTGTTTTGTTTTTTTGAGACAGAGTTTCTCTGTGTAGCTTCGGAGCCTGTCCTGGATCTCACTCTGTAACCCAGGCTGGCCTCGAACTCAGAGAGATCCAGCTGTCTTTGCCTCCCGAGTGCTGGAATTAAAGACGTGCGCAACCACCCGGGCCCCAGTCTGTTTTTATTCTTGGTAAAACAAAACTTCTAAGTCCCAGGATGGATGGGGGAGGGGCTCATGAAGTCCCACCCTATCTGAGGAACTATTGGCAGTTGGCAGCTATGTTGATGGAGAAGAGTCCATTGTCTTTGGGGATGTGGACCCTGAGAAGTTACCATCCGGTAGGTGGTCCCACACTTTGTCAATACAGGCAGCACTTAGTGGACTCAGTAGGTAATAAATCAGAGAGAGAGACAGAGAGAACATGGGGAAACCTGAAGATGGCAGGAATTGGGGGTGAAGGAGATACTGGAATGGGGGCACCTTATATTTTTGTACGGATATTAAATAAAATATCCAATGATTTAAAAAGGTGAGTAGGAACTAAGGTCTTTTCTGGATTTCCTTATACTTGTTTTACATTTGTATGTGAGCTATTGTTGCAGTGAATCGATACTATGTTATGTTCCTGGTCCTTAGAACACTCTAGAACTGAGTATCTGTGATGAAAACTTAATTATGAAAGATGGCATCTGCTTCAAAGTTTCCTATGATGTCTCAGAAATCTCCCCTGGCCAACTGCTCCAGAAAACCTTCCGCCTGAATCCTCAGGTGGGTGAGAAGGCTCCAGGCTGAGGAATTGCTCAGCTCCTCCTGGCTGCCAGGATGCTGTTAGCTGCACTCATTCACAGGAAACAGGCTGGTCTAGCCTTACCCGATGCCCTCCAGCCTTACCCGATGCCCTCAAAACACTACTCAGCACAACCACGAGGGGGCAGTGTAGGCCCGTCACACCTGCACCAGGGATTCAGACCTGCCTGCCCCACCAAAGTCTGGCTTGGCTTCCTGCTGCCTGCTTGGGGAGAGGAGGGTAGAATTCCGGGCCTGGGGACCTCCTCAACAGGGAGAAGAAATCCAGCCTGGATATCCTCAGGTCACCTCTGGCTGAGCTTGTCTTTTGCCTTCAGCCCCATCAGGGTTTAGGGACCCAGAAGGGAGGAAGGTCTGTCCTCTGCAGACCTACCAGCTTCAGGTATTTTAGTAGCAGGTAGCTTATCTTGCCCTAGACCTCTACTTCCTCAATTTCGTATTGGAAATAATCATAATATCACACCTTCCTCAGAGACTGCTGGAGATGGCGGGATAATGCTTTTGAGAGAACAGGGTCAACTGTAAATGTTGATGACTTGATCACCCTCTTTGGTCACAGGGACCAGAAGAGTTAGATGTGGAGTTCCTGATGGAAAAAACGTGAGTAAGAATGAACAGCCCAGGGCGTGGCTGGAGTCACAGGCTCTACTCAGGAAACTGGTCCTGACCCAGATTCCTTGTCCGTCTGTCCTGCTGAGTCACCCTCCTTCCCCTCCCCTCCCCTGCCAGGAGGTCTGGGTCTCCTCTTGGGGTCGAGGAGGAGGATGGCTGGCATTGCCCCTGCCCCGGGCTCTCCTTTCGTCTTGCCCTCCCTAGTGGCGTCTCCCCTCGTCTTGAGTCACCCAGGGAGATGCCCTGTGGATGGGAGTGAGCAGGGAGAAGATGCGTGAATGAGAACGCTCTTGCCTCTGTGAGTCCAGAGTGGATGCTTTGACTTTTCCAGGTTGGACCCTCCAGAAAACCTCATCACCAACAATGTTCTTGTGGTAACGACCTTCCTGTGACTCAGCGGAGGAGATTCAGAGGAGGGGAAAATGGGGTTAGGATTCTGGGGTGTGGAGGAAAGGGATAACACAGGGGTAGGGCTTTGTGGTCCAAGTACCCCAGACCCCCAGCCAGGGGGTAACCTGAAGCTGAGGGCTTTACAGGGGTCTAGAGCTGAGAGGCACGTGGAAAGAGGGCAGGCGGCTGTGCTGAGAAGGTTCTGCCTTCTGACTGGATAGCTGAGGGACTGTTGAGAATATTTAGGTGCTTTCTGATGATGCTTAGTTATGTGTAATGAGCACAGAGTCCTTAGGGATTAACTTGCTTAAAGTCATAGTGAGTCCTGCGTGCCAGGCCCATCTTCATTCATTAATATTGAGGTCACTGAGGTTTGGAGGGAGTTTCTGGCGTGATGTGCTCGCCTGCCTCTTAGCTCCTCCTGGAGAGCCCATGAAACTGCAGTGGGTAGTCATGGCCACAAGGTGGCAAGCGCTGCATGGGAAGCTGCCCACTGGGTGTGGGACTCATAAGAGGCATCAGGTAAATAAAACCTGGAGCTGTCTCCTGGAACGCACCTCAGGAGCACTCACCCTCAGGGCTTGCGAGTGCCAGTCTGATGGCTAGTTTACCTTTAAAAGGAATTCGTAGTGTAGCCTGGCACCATGGCACATGTCTGTAATCCCAGCACCTGAGAAGCAGAAGCAGGAGGCCATGAATGTGAGGCTAGCCTGGGCTATATAGTGAGTTCCAGTCCTGCCAGGGCTGCATATTGAGACTTTGTGTCAAAGAGAAAACAAAGTATCTCTTACGGTAACGTAACTCCCACAGAAGCTGTGCCTCCTCTGAGTTGTGGGGGTGAGCAGTGGGGTAGAGTCAGCCGTTATGTCCAAAGGGCTGGCTACAGCAGCATCAGGCACCCAGCTCCTCGGGGAGGGTACTAAAGGCAAGTCAGTGGAGCTGAGGATAATCAGGAGATGTTTTGGTCACTGTGGCTCTGACACCTCCAGCCTGTGGACCTGAGGTTCCCGCATGGTGCTTGGGGGTCTGTAAGATGAAGACTGGAGACAACAGAGAGAGACCTGAGCCTGAGAGCTGGGCCTTTCAGAGCTTCCGTAGGC